ATATATATATATATATATTTTTTATTACAGTTTAAAAATTAACTAAACACGTTGAATAACAAATATACTTGTATGAAATTTATTATGTTTGTTACATTTATCATGTGGCAAAAAAATATGACACGTTCGTTACAGTCAAGAAATTAAATATTTCATTCCATGATGTTTACATCTGTTACGTTCGTAATTTAAACTTTACGTGCCTCTAGTAACTATAAGCACAAATTGCTTTATCCTCACACATGTTATCGTTGCAAAACTATATCATTTACACGCGCCGATGTCTGAAAAGATAAAAGCGGGCTTACAATGTCATATCGGAAATATGTATCGTCTTACTCTGTATTTATCAGTAGTTAAAGTCTATGATAAGTCACTTTGCGAATATGGGTCACCGAATAGCGCCGCGCCAGCACAATGCCAATTTTTGTGGCTCGCTTTTGTGGCGCGTTATAGTCACAGCATGTATCGGCTGAATGAGGAAATAACTCCCGGTCCAAGTGCACAAATTTTCTCATTACGAGAGTTGTGCGATTTTACGCCTGTCTGAAACGGTAACTGGCGACTATTCCCTCGCGTCCGTTCGCGTTTGCTCCCGATCTTTCGCCTCGATAAATATTACACGTCCCTCGGAATGAAACTTTTACGCTCGCGATCGCAACAGCTAATAAAATGTATTGTAGACCCGAGGGGAAAGACAAGAGTTATAAAACTAGAGTAGGTATACGAAATATCGAAACAGGTGACTTTGACTTTTGTTAGGGGAGCGCAAAAATTCATAATTATAATCGTACATATAATTTGTATTTGTGTTGTGCGAATATAAAATTTTAATTGTGAACGTAAAAAGTAATTTATAAAATGTTTAATTTCACGTACCGAGAATACAATGTCGGTTGCCGAGAATATAACAATTGAAGAGCTTACTATAACAGTGGACTAACCCACGTTTTGTAAAAGTGGAGAATAAATGAATTTTTTCCATTACTTTAACTTTAGAGTTTATTTTCTCTGTTTTTACAAAATGTTGGTTAGTCTATTGTTGCAGTTGTTTTTCAATTAGATAACGATTGCAGCAAATTTTATTACGTCCGGGTAAAATTAGGGTAAATAGGAAAGTAAAAATAATTCACTGTGAAAAACTAGCAATGGTCGTTCCGTTTTTTCTAAACCGTCTCGAAATCTGTCTCACCTCGCGGAATCGCCGCCAACGAATGCCAGATCAATAGTGAAACGTGTCGTATATACTTGCACAACATACGACGCTTTTATATATAAAAGATTTCGGTGAATTTTTCATACGCAAAGCAAGCGGGTGATGTTACCACGAAATTTTACTTGAGCCGTCGCGACGGCCGAATGAATTACGCTGATATCGATCGATTGATATCGCGTGCCTCAACCGCCGATATTGCCCGTCGTAATTTCTAATTAGGATATCGATGCATATCCGGCACGTTATTATGACATTAATATGGAAGAGTCGGGCCAGCCCAGGATATTGAGCGGAGTTGCCCCGATTATTTATTATTATTACATGACGCGTTTGGCGGATTTTCGGCGCATTGATTTTGTCGTGTCTAAAATTTCAAACGTAAATAGATTCCGAGTGCGTAATTCGAACGGTTCGGTGTTTGAACGCGTGTTTTCGGTAACGAAACAATTCCGAGTCGAAATTCAATCCTTTTCTCTCGCACGTATGGTCTCTGCGGTATCGCATTATTGACTTTTCCGTTGTACGCCGCGTATTAAATTTCCGATATTGCTCCGAGTGGACACTGCCATATAAATGTTTTACATTAAGTATATCGACAGTATTTGCTTGACTGTAATTCTTTTAAATCCCTTCCCAACGGGTACACGGGATAAATGCATTCCTCTAGTATGACAGGAAATATTAAAAAGATATAGATGTAATTTCCTACTATAGCACTGCACCGCTTTGCGCTGGTTAAATTATCGTTAATTCGAAAAACTATTACGATTAAATTCATTACGGAAGTAAACGTATCTACGGGAGCGCGAAATAGTTAATTATCTCGATGCAAAAGTTATTAAAGTAACCTTTATGGCTCGGGAAATAAGCTTTTTTAAATTCACTGTGGAGATTATAATGGAAATTCTTGGTTGTAATCCGTTCTGGGCACAGTCGGAATAATCTTTCTGGTAGTTGGGAGTAAACATTTTTACCATTCCATTACAACGTGGCGCATTTGCGATTTTATTTTAATTCTACCTGAATCTTATTGAAAAATTACACAGATTTTCGAGAAAATATATTAAAAGGAATTGCGAGTGCATAAATGGAGAGGTAGGAATTCGAAAGATCTAGACATTTTCTAGGCCTTTTATCAAGCAACGCTTCCCATCCTATGACACGTCGTTATCTGCGCTAGGAGAATAGAGAGAGAGAGAGAGAGAGAGAGAGACCTTGAGATGCATGTGCACACTTCAATTTGATTTCAGCGCCACGGTTCATATTACTGTGGTTGACGTCAACGAGTACGCGCCGCAGTTTCTCCAGCCGGCCTATGTTAGTACTGTGGACGAGGGACGCCTCTATGAAGAGGTGGTCCGCGTTGAGGCGTCCGACCGTGACTGCACGCCGAAATTTGGTGATGTCTGCAAGTACGAGATCCTCACCGCCGATCAGCCATTCATTATCGACAACGAGGGTGCCATCCGCAATACCGAGCCTTTGGACTACGAACGCTCACACAACTACATACTCAGCGTGGTCGCTTATGACTGCGGTATGAAGCAGTCGGCGCCGGCGATGGTGACGGTCAAGGTGAACCGCGTGTGTGCCCCCGGATGGCGAGGAATCCCCGAGAGGGTAGATTACGCTGCCGGCGTCGGTTCACAGCCTCTACTGCCCTCGGCGCGGCTTGATCTTTGCGATGCACCCTGCATCCTGCGCAACGTGCGCGCCACCCTGACTTTGGCCACCGATCACATCGGCAAGGGTTGCGATCGTGACACGTATGGGGTTCGCAGCCAGCGGAAGCTATGCGGTGCCTCGCGCGACAGCGTGGATCTACTGCCCACACCTGGACCCACAACCTCTTGGACGGCCACTCTTTCCAGAGACGAGGGTAGAGAGGCTGATGAGATCTTTGAGTTCGACGGCGTAGACTCAGCCGCGATCGTGCCGAACGATGTGCTGGAGCATAGCCTGGCGCAGAAGTTTACCATCGGTGTCTGGGTCAAGCACCGACCACGCCCGCGACAGGATCCACATGTCAAGGAACACATCTTGTGTGCTGCCGATGATCACAGTAAGTTTCAATGTAACGAATGCTAAGATTCACTTTTTCATAGCATTTTGACAATATTTTTAATATTTACAACTACCTAAGAATCAGTTATTTTTCAACGTTATTTTATCAAATAGTTTTGTGTTCGTTTAATATTTTGTTTTGCTTGTCAAGATAAGCGTCTTCTGCTTATAAACAGAAAATGCCCAGCGATAAGAACAACGGAAGCTTGTTGATGATGAAAATAATTGTACAAAGAATTTTCTTGATATTGAATTTTCACTGATGCCTTTGAAAATCATAAAGATTAACGGTATAATCATATTTCACGTTTATCACGCTCATGGTTATCCCGATTGACTTTATAACAGGAAAACAAAGAAATAGGCTATAAACTTTTCATGTAAAAGCAACAGAAACTTGTTGATGATGAAGAAAATAATTGCTCAAGAATTTTCCTGATATTGAACTTCACTGACGCCTTCGAAAGTCAAAGACTTTAGACTAACACTATAGCATCATGTTCATCACGTTTATGATTATCCTGATTGGCTTTATGACAGGAAAACAAGGAAGTAAGCTATAAACTTTATAATTTTCATATAAGAGCAACTTGTTGATAACGAAGAAAAAAATTGTACAAAAAATTGTCTTGATATTGAATTTACACTAACGCCTTCAAAAGTCACAGACTTTAGATTAACATTATAGCATCATGTTTCACGTTTATCACGTTCACAGTTGTCCCGATTGGCTTTGTAGAGAAAACAAGGAAATAGGCTATAAACCG